TTGCTATTTATTTTTATTACCTCAGTATTGTTGTTATTACTAAGTTTGTTATTCTTACTTTTACATTCTAATGCCATTGATACTGCCATTTAGCTTTATCGATGTAAAAAAAAGCATATGCTTACTCTGAATTTTGGAAGTTTTGTGCTTAACTGGTAGTGGACGTCTGGGCAGTCAAAAAAAGATGAAAATTTCAGATTGTTGGTGCTGTTGACAACCCAGTGATAAAAAATGAGGAAATTCAGGATGAAACACAGCGTAATTTTGAGGAAATGTTAGTGGCTTTTCTCTTTTTTATCGCTGTGAGTAATTCATTTAGAATGCATTTGGCCAGCATTTTGGACGAGTGGTCAGACTGTAGAGCAGTTATATGAGCAGTGTATCGATTGCAGCTCTTTTTTCTCCTTTGCCATTATCACTAAAGTAAGGATGCATCTCAGCCTAGTTCCCACTCAGAATGCGATGTCCGCCGGATTCGAAGAGATAGATTTAGGACATACCGTTTTTTTTTGCTATGACAGAGGGGGGCAGTGTGCCCGGGTTACAGTACTCTGCACAACCCACTAGCAAGACTTTTAGTGGTTCCCTGTTGGCGGGTGGCATGAGAAGTAAGCTACAGTTTGCTGAACTGTCTGGTATTCTAGGCATTACAGCATCAATAAACCAAAGCTGATCGCAGTGGTTTCCTGATTGGTGGTCCTGAACCAGTTCTGCCTTGGGTTGGCTGATTGCAATTGCTAAACCAAAAACAACTGGAAATGTTAAAATTACGATATTTCTAGGACGAATTAACCGGACTATCTTAGCTGTGATTGCAGCCTCTGCACGCAGATATTGATGTGTTGAAAACTGAAGGGTTTGCAGCGACTCGTCTTCTCTGCGACATCCCATGTGGCGTGAGAGTAGCGCTTCCTCACTGAAAATCGACGAGTCGCATGTGAGCCCTCCTGGCGATACTGACGAGGAGTTAGTTTCCTCGCGTGAGCCACACGAAGAAATACGTTTTGGAAACAGCGAATCCAGAGAAGCCGAAATTCGACGAACTGGTCGCTCACGTGGCGGAGCGCGTGCTGAACGTTCCTCTCCTTCGCATACCTCGCAAAAAACGAATTGTGGGGAAAAGCGCAAACAGAGGTATTTTCTCCAGGCATTATCTTTGTTTCCAGAGAGATTTTGCTGCGCATTTCCGTACACTGAGTGTTTTTTGATAAAGTCCAGTGCGCATGAAAAATTGTTATCTTCACCAGTTTGTCGAGATGTACCTTGTAGGATGAGAATACGCTGTGAGTGGTGGTAGCAGGTTTGGCATCTAGCTAAACCACGTCAACATTTCCACATGTAGAGAAGGTGCGTACCGAAAAAAGAGAATGGGTGGAGGGAGACAAGGAATAGGAACAAGGAGCTCATTAGTAACGATTTTATGAGCAGCAATCGATGGAAGTAACGGTACTCCATTCCGTGCATTTTAGAACTCCCAGCGTTGCACATAAGTCGCGAAAAGCTTGCTTCATCGGTCTTCACAGCGCGAAGGCTGTGGAGGAGTGCATAAAATTGAGGCAATAAGATATGAAAGTCAGCTTGAAAGTGCTCAATTGCACTGAAAGTGCAAACAAATGCATTTCTGAATTGTTAAATACAGTGATAAAACGCTTTAAAAAAAAAGCCTAATTGAGCAGGTGCGTTTCAAAAAAGGGGCAGAAAAGTACCATTTTGAGTTGGGACTGGCTTACCAAGGCCGATTCGTCTGAGTTTATGCACTTTTCTTATTTATAGGAATACCGGCGTTTTTTGTACTTGAGCAGCTGTTGTTTTAATTCCATGTTT